AATCTTCCATCGATATATTTGAACGAAGATACATGTCAATTATACAATCACATTAAAAGCATATGTTTATTTCATATGTACATGACCGGGTATTCACAGTGAACAAAGCTACAGTTTATTAAGTAAAGATTTTCAATTCCTTTAGGAAGTCAACGCCAATGTAGCCAAACTGGGATAACGCCTACTTTATATTTGTTATTGTTCCCATTCTCATAGCATTTTAAAAAAAATACAAATTGCTGATTACCTTTTTCATTGCTGTTTTATGAAAACTCCAAAACTGAAATGTTCCCCTTCAATGACAGATCTTATTATCAGTTTTAAACCAGATCTTCACGCTGCTTGTCCTAGCGAAAGATTAAAGATCTCAAGGCTTGGGTGGTATATTGTATGTTAAAGCAATCTGTCCCTACAGCTGTGTCTTGCAAGCTATTCTAAATATTAGGAGCCTATAGAGTCCAATGTATAAACCTCCTCCAAATAAACAACTAGAAGGGTACGAAATATTCTTTTAAAATTATTTTTAGGCATAATATGGAATGGCAACATATAACAAGCATATAGTGGGGTTTTAAAATTTGGCTGCAAAGGTGGACATACACTTTAAGCCAAGTACCAAACAGGCTAAGAGATTATTGGGTGTATTAGGAGTAAAAGCATTTCACTTAGGAAAGTGAATGTTTACTCAGCTTAGTAAATGAGGTAAAGCAGTGTTCATTTCCATTAAAAGAGAGGTAAAGTTAACCCTTTTCATTTGGCTTTACTTCTCTTTTGGTTCACAGGACACTTACTTAAATATTTGTGTGACCCAAAATCAGCAGATAAAGTGCTACTGTCTGCTTTATGCTGACAGCACAGAACCGTGCCGCAGCAGGGAAGGATCCTGACAATATTGTTGGGATCCACCCCACTGCCTAATTGACAGCTGGCTCTGCCTCTCTAAAGCCAGAGCCAGCTGTGCCCGCCCCTCCCCTGTCTGTCCCTCCAATGAGTACTAGAGGAAGAGAGGGGAGGGAGGAATCCCTGTGGGGAGCGGTGACTGACAGTCTTTGCTTTCTGCAGGGAGAAGATCGTGAGCTGAGTTAACAGCAGTTACATGATCACGCGGCTTCTTAGTCTTACAGCCATCGCATGACAGCTGGAGTGTCCCACACCATCAAAAAAAATAAAATATTTTTTCTCTTGCACATGATTGGGTATTCAAAGTAAACATAGCTTCACCTCATTTATCACATTCACTTTGCTAAGTGAACAACCTCTACAATTCAATCAACCCTTTTAAGTCTGTGCCCATTCTCTGCACTACAACATGATGACTAAAAATACAATTTACACCAGCTGATTATAGGCAATAGCAACAAAGTCCTCTCACTTTCACTGCTTTCCCTGGCTTGTAAGAAGAAAAGTGGCATGAGGTCAGTCGCACATTTTCCCGCCCTCGCCTTCTCTTGAGACTAATAGGTTTTTGAAAATGTATGATTAATTAAAAAAAAAAAAAAGGAAATTCCAAGTACAGCAAAAAGGAATGACCAAACTCTTGCACACTCTCTCACTCATACTAAATACATCCACATTATAAATATTATATATATTTATATATATATAGCCTTAAGAACAAATTATGACTTACAAATGCACTTTTGGTTCAGAACGATGACAGAGGGGACTGAATGAAAATAAAGTCATGAAGTTTTCACTGCTTTTCCTCTTGTAGGGGAAGCCATGTATTCTGGGGTAAATGTAAGACAAGTTCCCGGGACCTTTATAAACATTTAATATACAGTTATCTACTCTCTGTAGATGGATGTCAAGAAAGGGGGAAATGCAGAAATAGATCTACATAACTGTATTGTGAGCAGCTGCATGTTATTGTAAGGTCAGTTCAGTGAAAGGTTGGGGACATCATACTGTCATTTGGCTCAGTGACTTGGCTTGAAGGTGATAAGAATAATTAATATTAATATGGGAAATGGATCGCAAATTTATAGGCCCAATTCAAATGGGGCCAGATCGATGAGTCTCACAAATTCTACAGGTAATCTCAGCCTGTGCGATTGCTTGCGAACAGCCTGCAAACTGCTGTGGCCAGGGGCATCTGTCATTGGATTACACTGTGCCTCCTACCCACAGCAGATCGAATGAGTCTCACCAAGGACTTTATAAGACTTATCGATCCAGCCCTATTCACATGTCTCCATTGCGTCTAATGCACCTGATACTGCAAGGCAAAACAATGAAATCACCAGTTTTGTAAACAGCTTTTTTTTTGGGATCAAGTGATGAAGGCACAGAACCTCTGTCAGTTTTTTATTGCTGATTCCCTTTTAAGGATTTTTCCACTCACATCCTGTCCCAATGACAACACAGAACACAGCAAGTGAGTGGAAATTTCCCAATGGGAATATCCTCTAACCATTCCATAGTCTAAAACTGTACAAAGGAAAAAAAAGGTGTAACTACAAATCCAATCATGCATCTGCCTCTGGGAGTCATGTCTGTGGCTGCAGTGTCTTGAAAAGCCTAATGGGATATGTAGTTGTACCACAGATGGAAGGCTAGATTTTGCCTACCCCTGCCCTAGAAGCTGGTATTACATGGCGCTACTTTGTTATGGGACTTGGCGCCATAAAACAACCGTGATTTCAGGAAACTGGTAACCTCCGACGGGGGCCTTGAGGACAGATAATCTGACCGGCAAGAGAGGTTTTTCTTTTCTGCAGCTTTCGGTATAAACATGCATGATTGGTCACCTACACATTTATGTTTATGTCTATGGAACGGGGAGAAGGAAGTGCAGTCAGGTCTTCTAGAGCCAGTTTATCTCAGGGAAAACGATAAAAAAAAAAAATGTAACCTAACTGATCTTTTCAGTTGGTGAGTGGAGTCAGCTGGTGGCCATAGATAGAAGATCTGATTCAGTCCAAATTGCATGTGACAATCATCTCACATATGTAGCCAGCCATAGCACTGGTCTGCACAGAAACAGCTTTCCACAGGTTTGCAGCTCACCTATGGGAACAAGCGACATTTTGCATTGGGCCATATTTTATTTACGAAGCTGGTGATTTCACTGCCATTCCATACATCAAATGTGGCAAAATACGCAGTCACGCTTTAAAAGCATAGTCCTCTTTTCTGACTGTGTTGCATGCTACACCCATATATAGGGTGTACCATGAAACATGGACGCATTTCCCTGCAGGCTTCTGTTTAGAGTTGAATTTGGTACAGCTGTGTGCCCACATAGCCACGTCATCCTTCAACATATCAATTCACAAGGATCTGGGAACAGAGAGACTTCAAGCCCCATGTGCCACCGCAGCAGAGGGACACATAGATCTCAATGGAGCACAAGTGTGGCGATGCCATCACATTTGTAATCCACTGATTACTTCCTCCAGCTTCATAACCAAAGTTCCTTATGCACCTGGGGTGGGAGAAACAATCTGCAGCAGCCCAAGAATTGCACCCACGATTCACTGGTCATGTTTGCAATGCTTTGCAGGCTCCAGTGCAAAAAAAAATCAGAAATGCACATGTTCTCTTTCATTAATGTGCGTGCATTTTTTTCCTAAATGGTTGACTATGCTTCTAAAGGAGTTGTTTAACAAAGGGTAGCATGGTTCTGCCAGGGTTCTACATGAATATACAAAGATCAGTGGCTCCAGTTTTGGTCAGCATGAAAATAAAAATACATTGGTCATACACTGTTTTTGAGATGGGGCATAGCTCACAATCTTTCAGATGTTTTTCGATATAATTTTCAATTAAAAAAATAGTAGCATTAAAAAAGATTTTGGAGATCATGGGGTTAGAAAGAAGGAAGAAAACTTGGCTGATCTGTTGTTGCATGATAGTGGTTTTCCTGTTAATTGATTAAAGGTCAGCCTATATTAATAGACCGCAAGGACCTGCCTGATAACATTGGACCCCAGATTCCCTCATTCACTTTTGCAGTAAGCATAATGCTTCACTGGTTAGAATGAATTTATAGCATTCACCTGTCCGATAACTTAATTAAAGTCCTTTCACGTAACTACTGCTGTTTTGGTCCACATGTACACAGCCCAGCACACATAGTCCAGTATTAAAAAAATCCTATTTCCTTCAAATATGGGAAAAAATTTAAAAAGGGCAGACCAAGAAAAAGAGAATAAACAGCACTATATATTACAATTTATAAACACCGCTTCAACAGACTGGTCCTAAATAAGGTGACAGAAATCGGGGAAGCACTACGACTAAATTACTCTTGAGTATAAGTGACTTGAGTTCAAAGAACATTAAATAGATAGTTTGTATGCGCTCTCCATGTTTGCAGGTTTCCTCCAGTAAAGCATACAAGAAGGTTAACTGCATTCTGACTAAATTGCACCGGGTAGTATTTTGCAGTAGCGGCCACAAGCAGTGGGAGTATGCTGGAGAGGTGAGTGTAGAGCGGTCGGGGACTGCGCTTTAAACTGACAGGGCCACAATGCCCTGAAAAGACACAGTGACAATGTCCTTCAAACAAGCGTTATCAAATAAGATCTAAGAGAAGAATCACAGTGGGAACTGGTGAACACAAAGTGGACCCATTAGCATGCAGCTTGTGAGTCAGACAGTGGCTTTCTCCATGAGATGAATTTAAATTGCTGACTTTAAATTCCATTTAAAGCCATGTCAACAGTAAGAAGTAATAGAAGGGCTGAAATATTATTTCGGGAGAAAATGCTGCTGTAGGTATCCAGTGTTGGTCACATAACCAGAAGCCTAGGCATTTGTTTGCATGATCTATGTTAAAGGACAGAGTCACCTGATGTAAACCTAAATCATCCCTTTCAGAAAAAAAATTAAATCACATGACCAAATGCTTTGAATTCTGGCTATGCAGTGTTTCTTTGTTCACATAAGTTGTGCATTCTTTGATGTTTTTTGTGGTCCAGAGTTGCTTGTTACCATTTCTTAATTGCATGTTTGTTTCCATATGTTCTGCATTAGCTCCACCAACATAGCTGTGATCGTCCTATTAGATCTTTATCAATATTCCCCAGAATGTCGTCATCTTAGTTACGACCACCCTGTTATATACATAAACCACACAACTAACTTCCATAGTTGTCCCAGTTTGTGTTCAGCATTTGATTTCCATTGACGTTTCCTTTCGGTTTCTGCCTTTTCTCCTTTACGGGTTGTTATCACAGTAGGATAAAGAGGGCGATGCTCGGTCCGAATCATTGAGAGGAGTGTGAAAAAAATGACATGGCTTTATACTGTTTGCGGAAAGTGACAGATGTATCCCATCTTTGTGACAGGGAGGCACTGTAGGGGAGGCTTGCCAACGCTTCAGAATAGAAAAAGATGTCCTATTTCCCGAGACAAAGACAACAAGGTATCCACAAAACAGTATGTGAGACAGAGTAGTCTGCAAGGTGGAGCCACTGTTAGGATAAGATGGCAGGACACCATCGTACAATAGTCAGGTTATCAGCACTTGCAGAACGTCTCTTGGCCATTCTTCGGAAGTCCTTGTACTTATCCTCACACAGGCGGCAAATAGCCTAAATGTAACAAAAACAAACAGCAAAAGGTATTCAAAAGATTAGAGCATCAATGCGGACCTTTCAAAATACCAATAAAACCCATCCTATAAAATAAAACCTGAGCAGTGCCTACCTTCTCTGCCCACTTTCTCCACCGCATATAGCATTCTAAGTGACTCTAAATGCACCTTACAGAGACCCTGTCCCATGACTATTTATTTACACAAAAATATTCCTATAAGATTATATAAGCATTTAATGTACTTTGTGCATGTTATTAACCTGTAAGCATCTCCCTTGTGTAGACATCCAAAAGTCCTGAGACTGATGCTCGGTGGTGCTATCATGGATGTAATGTCAAAAGACCCAACAGACTTAGAGCTGTCCTTCAAGTGTCACTCTCTAGCAGGGGTAAGCAACTTCAGTAATCCAGCTATAATAAAATTACAAATCCCATCATGCCTCTGGTTCTAGAATTCATGTCCTTGGCTGTCAAAGTGTTGCAATGCCAGATGGGACTTGTAGTTCCAAAACAGCTGGAGTGCCAAGGTTGCCCAGTTCTGCTCTCTAGCATTCCTCTTCTCTTCTCCCTCAGCTGCTACACAGACAGTAAGTAGAAACTCCCAGAAGAGGAGAGGGTTATGGCATGCAAGCAGGAAAGCGCTGTGCTAGAAAATGGACTTTCCCTGGAGTAGTCATGTTCTCTAGCATATTGAACGTTCCAGTAATATTAGTTCTAAAGATGTGAGGAGGTAAGTAATGTTTCGTTGTGGAGAACTAAGTTTTAAAGCACTGTATCTCATAAAAGATGCCATGGAAGAAAGTAAAAAAATGCATGACACTTACCTCCACCCAAAGCTCAGAAATTATCTTCCTAGAATTCTTCTTGAATAAGAACCTAAAAAAGGTAACGTACCTCAAGTTTACATGCACGATCCCGGCTCAGGGGCTCAAGTGGAAAGCTGAGGTTGTTATCCTCTGCCAGTGACCGAAGATCAAAATAATACTTGGCATAAACACTGGACGGAACATTGATGTTGAATTGCAGAAGTTCCAGGAATTGACGTTCCAGCTCATTCCTAGAAGTAAGAAACATCAAAGCCATCAAAACCATACAGCCTTCCATTACATCAGCTACCTTTACCTGCATATACTAAAATATGAACATAAAGAGACCTTGTGGCCAGACCATTCATTTCAACAACAGTCTTCCCATAAGATTATATGTATCATTAATTTTATGCATGTTATTTACCTGTAAAAGCCTCCATTGTGTAGACATCCAAATACTCTGAGACTGCTTCTTGGAGCTGCCATCTTTGATGTGATGTCAGCAGCCCCAGCAGACTCAGTTGTCACTGAAAGTGTAATTCCACGTTTGCAGTAACATTTTCTGCAAAAAATCCCGACTATAGGTTTGTTATTTGTTCCCACTCACTCAGTATACCTAAAAAAAAATAAGCATTTTTTCCTTTCTCTTTGCTTCTTTGGACCAGGTTTATCCGTAAAACTCTATAAGCAGCTTGAGTTGTTCAGAATAACCTGCTAAACAATAAGCTACACGGACATTTTCTTAATATAGTGCATTAACATGTACCACCCAGGCCTTGATGTCTTTTACTCTTTGTTAGGACAGATACTGTGTAGCTTTTGAGTAGCTAGTTCTGAAATCAAGCTTGTATGTAGGATTCAAGAACCCAGATCTGGTTTTGTTAAGTGTCACTGGCATAACGCTTGGTATTAAAGCACAATACAATGACAGCCAAGGATTTTGGTGACTAAAGCACCACCGTGTGGCTATAGTGTGAGAAAATATCAGAATCTTGCATAGAAGTATTTGGCTAGCTGTATGTTCTGCACAATATGTTATACCCATCTTTGCTCACTATGCCATAACAATCTGGATGTGTGAGCTTCCATATAAAATATAATATATATGGGTTTTTTAACATAATCCTGAATAACCCTGCAGAACTCTGGTCCATTTATTATCAGGAGGGTTACCATCTTCATTTCCTCAAGGGCTTCTCACAATGGCATTTTATGTGTCCTGGAAGCATACTCATGAATACAGGGTTACAAGGAGTGAGAGAGAGAGAGAGCAAGAGAGAAAACAAGAGAGACGGAAAGAGAAAGGGAGAAAATGAGAGGAAGAGAGGGAAAGAGAGAGATAGAGAGAAAGGAAGACAGACAGGAAGAAAGAAAGAAGGAAGAAAGAAATGCTCTTAAAGCAATAGTGTCATATTATTCAGTGACACTTTATGATTGGGGCTTGTATATTCTTTATATTCTTTGAGTTGGTTGTGTCTACTTTTCTTCAGGTGGTCTGGTTTGATACTGCAATATAAAAATTTAAAAAACAATTGGCTGAAGTGCAGTGTTCACTTGAACACTCCTCTAGGGTCAAGAACTGATACAAAAGGTTCATGTATTCTGTAAACATTGCAAAGATATATATAAAGAAATTCGGTACAAAGAACAGATGCTTTAAGTGAGATAGAGAAACGTTATCTGGAGTGGCAAAGCAAAAGGTAAAAGAGTTGAGCTGAGCTGTAACCCCAATATAATGTAGCTGTAAAGTGATCCTGTTACCCATATTGAATGGAATTAGTTACTTTATTGGCTAGATAAATATTTAAGTGGATCCAAGCTTTTGTTTCACCAGGAACCTATTAAGGGGTTTTGGAATAAATCAGCCTCGCTGTGACATCCCAAGAACCTGGAGAACTGATAGGATGATTATTGGTTCAGGTCTGTTGCACTGTATACAGATGGCAGGTCCACATTATTAGAAAAAAAGCATTGGTGCTCCTGGAGAAAAAAGGAACTTACATGTCCTCCACTGTGATGTCTTTCAGGATCTGACAATAGTCCACATTCCACACCGCCTGGTCATCCCAAACTTTAGAGGCTAGAAGTATTGCGCCCAGTACGATCCGTTTCCAGTTGACTGGACAAATGTCTATTTCTGCGTAGGTTAACAGTCTTTCAAGATAAACCTTTAAATAAACATATTACTAGATGAATTTACATACGCACTGAGCATTTATAATATAAATCCATCATACAATCATCTACCACATCTACCAGGATAGGTAGGCAATACACTGTATGTGGTACTGATCAGAAGACCACCACTCAGTTAGGACTACTCTACTCAAGTATGGAGAGGGGTATGCTCCTTTTTGCATCTCAAAGTAGCCTTTAAGTACCTGCTGCCAATATCATAGTGAAGCCCTACCCATTTCTCCACAGGAGTAACCGGTCCCATGATTATGGACACTGGAGAAGTAGTGAAGTTTTTTCTTCCAGTGTAAATAATAGAAGTAGGCAACTCAGGGGCCAAAAGTTGAGGTTAGGATTTCAGAAAGTTTCAGGCCACCCTACTGTGCATTACTGCAAAAACATGGTTCACTGTTTTTAAGCAAAATGTAGGTGATATCAGACTACAAGTGGTACGTTGAAGATAAGAAATGAGACATGTGCCAGCAGGAAGTGTATAATTGCAATGTGTGGCTTACTACATTGCTCCAAACTACTACTGCTAAAACTATCACTGCCGGTATCTTCCTACTGCAGTAAAGAGGATGGGTCTGCTATGCACTGACCAACCTGGTCAATGAGAGAGCCCAAGGCAGACCTGCCTACTAGTCTGCAGCAGGAAAATATTGCCAGCAATGCTTAGAGCAGTAGTATTATGGGGAGGCTGAATGGCATACACACAGGTCACAAGATGCACTGGTGCACTACACCCTGCTACAGATGTTGTATTTACCTTCTGCAAGGTACATGGTTGCTTAGGCTTTAATTTTTCTAGATAAAGCCACCCCTTAAAGTAAAGACATTTAAATATTGACATATTATTAACTAGCAGTATATAAGCTTTAAAACAAGTCCTTACTGATCTCTGTAACTACACTGACCCAGGGCTGTCACACGAAGTGAGTCACCTGATTCCCCATACCCAGAAGAACCAGGTATTTCCTTTGGCTTCCAGTGCTCATTGGAACAGCAGAGGAGCAAACCATGTTTATACGTCTGGAGATGGAAGGGTTACTGCAAATGTGCTTTGACCATTGAGGGATATGGGCTCCCCATGTGACAGCACTGATTGCCCCAGAGCTGTGACATGGAGTGAGTCAAATGCTCCTCCATGACCAGAGGTGTCTGGTATCTCTATTGGGTCCTGGTGCTGGGAGTAGTGGATGCAATGAAAAAGAAGATATGTATTGGTTTGGAAGACTGGTGTCAAAGAAAACCTGTGGCTTTGTCCGGAATGGGTAAAGCACAGATTTGCTTTAAAACAGACAAATATCAGATTAGCTTAAAAATGATGCAACAACAAATCACTTGCCTGATTTATATAACACACTTGTCGCCTTTATATTTTGACAATTTTAGCCTTCAAAAGAGATTGGTGTGAATGCGCGTGTTGGTTCCTTTAACATTAATTCTAAAGAATGTTACCCTCAGGGAAAGAGTCACCCAGAAATGTCTGTCACTCTGAACTGAATCCATTGACTTCTGATGGATACCTGTACTCACTGGCATAGGAAATCTGGGGTCACAGCAGTCACGTCCAGGCCTCTCCCTATCTCTAACTATGGCAGGGCAGCTACATGCTGGGCACAGGTACATTTTTTCTCGAGCCCCTTGGGCTTGGTCACATGACATCAGATCACATTACCAACAAGAAGAGATCCCCGGTAAAAATCTTTACCAGGGCCCTTACCTCAGCAGCTAAGTCACTCTCTGCATTTCACTCTTGCAGTTCACTTTTGATACAGTCACACCATAATTTCAGTCATAAGTGACCAGGATTAATAAATAGACCCCATATTCTTTCTGTTGTATCGTTTTTTTTAAATAGGAAAAATAATTTATGCACATTTGATTTTGCACAGAGTGCAGATGCCAGCCCATGATTTGTTTGATGTAGACTGATTAAATCTATCTGGATTGCGCTCTCCCCATGACAAAGTAATAGATGAGATAACCATTAATGAAATGCAATATTATGACCAGATAGAAACATGGTACATAAATTTAATTTCCTGTGGCTTTCCTGGTACATATCATCCTTACAATAAAGCCAGCATCAGTGTCAGTTATTGCATGAGTAACTCTCAGAGATTAATAAGGTACGTGTAGGCACAGTGACAGCTACAGCAGAGACTGAAACAGGAATGTATGGAGCCCATTACTTCAGACAAAACAATCCCAGAAGAATTCAAGACACCGATCAGCTATTATTGGGAGCAAAAGCATAGAAAGCCCAATCACTACTTTCAATAATACCATTTGCATTCATCATCGCCTCCACCATCATTTCACCCTTCTTTATTCCACTAGAGCAGGGGTACTGAATTACAATTTCAAGTTTTTCAAGTTCAAGTTTTCCATCAGAGGTCTGAATCTCATGTCTGTGCATTGACTCCATCAGATTGCCCCTTTACATTAGGTATCCAGATCAGAGTGCCCCTCCCTCCCCCCTTACATTATGTGTCCCGATCAGAGTGCCCCTTACATTAGTTGTCCTCATAAGAGTGCCCTCTTACATTAGTTACTAATGTAAGGGGTCATTCTGATGTGGACAACTAATTTACGGGGCATTCTGATGGGGACAACAAATGAGAGTGCTGCCATACATTAGTTATCTCCATTAATGTGCCCCAGTAACTCTCCTCAGCAGGCAGACGGTGGGAAGCAAAGCAGGCATCAGGTCTGGATGGGAGATACTATTCCATCCTCCTGTGATGCTAAGGACAGGATACGCGTGGGACGTCATAAGTTATAGGATGCTGGCGGTCCTAGCAACCAATGACTGCAGAGTGGGGGAAGCTGCACTGGGTTATGGCTGACTGAAAGTGGATACACTGGCCTTGGAGAGTCTGCAAGGCCAGCATATCCTCTGTCAGCCAGCCAGACATAACCAGACATAACCGTGACAGAACCATCACCCTGTCCATGCCACAGATCACCATTTAGTGGTCCCAGCACTAGAGGTACAACCATACCACCCCCCGTCCTCCCTTTCTCCCAGGATCCCCCTCTCTAAACGAGAACCCCAGAACATGCAACCTCTTCTGTGGTGTTATCTCCTGCTTCAGTGAAGAACTTGCTAGCTGTAAGGATTGCTATACACTGTTAGAATTCCCACAGTGGGTGGCCCTGCCGGCTCAACAAAAGTTGATTACAATCTGAATACAAATTAGTAAATTAAATTTGATATTTTAGTCCTTCATGGCAGCAAGCTTGGAGTGGTGGCTACGGTACTTAACTAAAGAAACACATGAACCATGGGGAAGGAAAGTAGCCACGCTCCAGAAGGAAAGACAGTGTCAGCATGAATTCAGAAATGATTTGAGCATCTACAGCTGAGTGATACACAAATAAGATACATTTTTAACCTACTTGAATTAATTTTTAAAATCAAATGCCTGAGTTTAGTGTCACTTTAAACTGGTTGCCCAAATTAAAATTGCCTTTTATTTTACCAAAAACTATATAGCACGAGTGCCCATGTTATTGAATGTAAATGGAATGGATTGTTTAGGTAAACCATGGTACTACATACAGTAGCTAGTGGCAAATTGGTCATATGTGTGACCAAATAGACAGAAAATTGACTGCTCCATGTCAAGGATTCCCAGTGTGAGTCATTTCAACATACTCCCCATTGACTTTTACTGTGATGCCTATATTGCATTACCCTGTTTTGATCCATTATTCCATGACTAACATAGTACAACTGCCCCATTATTCCATGATTAACATTGTACAACTGCCACACTAAATGATAAAGTTTTTTTAGCTGAATCTGAGGCCAAACGCCAACAATTCCTGGAGGTGCAGTCCACATGACTAAAAATTGCATTAAGATTATGTAGACTCGTCTTAGATGTACAAGCAAAAAAACCATTAGAATTGTATCCTAACTTCTCATGGGATGCATCAAAATGTAGTTATCACAGTCATGTTTTTATTTATACTACTTTTACATTCTTTGTAATTACCATAGGCGAAATCATATTTTAGTATCGTTATAACCCATGTAAATTATTTCAGTTTTCGCAAACACTTACCAGGGTTACTATGGCACATTCAGCAGTCAGCTGGGCAGCACTGAAAAGCGTCCGAACAAAGCGGTAAATGTGTTTCTGTTCTGGGTCATGCTTCTCGTAATCAGACGGGACTTCTGATTTCTACAAAAAAATAAAAATGTTTACATATTACAAATCTTATGGACTGTGAGTAGACCATTCCATTGTGAGATCCTTAAAGTGACACTAAACTCAGGCGTTTAATCTTAAAAATGCTTTCAAGTACCTTAACTCTGAATTGGTGCTGACACTGTCTTTCCTTCTCAAGGATGGCTACTTTTGTTCCCCATGGTCCCTGTGTGTGTTGTAGAGTAGCCACCGCTTCAAGCTCACTTCTATGATGGACTACAATCTCAATAAAAATGAGTAAACTAAACATGAGATTGTAGTCCATCACAGGAGGGAGCTTCGAGTGGTGGCTACTTTACAACACACACAGGGACCATGGGGAACAAAAGTAGCCAGCTTCCAGAAGGAAGGACAGTGTCCGCAACAATTCAGAGATGATTTGAGGATCTGCAGCCGAGTGACACACAAATAAGATAGATTTTTGTTCATAGTTAAGGTACTTGAATGCATTTTTACGGTTTAACTCCCGAGAATAATGGCACTTCAAAGCTGCAGACAAATACATGGATGAAATACATACGTGAGAGCTGTTTTACCAGCCAACAGATGTGTATTTTTGTCCATCTGGTCCTGAGATGTACACAGCTCTGCCACACCAGACAGCCCTGTCTGACAGGGAAGAAGACCTGAGTTTTCTTTGCTGTTGTTAAGTAACACTTACAAGTGTTGTCCCTCCCCTTCCCCACCAGTCCATGACTAGACAGCACATAGAGAAGCAGCAGACTGATTAGCTCATCTTTCTCCTCCTATCAGCATTCTTTTTGTTAGTACGTGAGCACCGCAGCACAGCTCACTGGCTCCTTGTGTTGCCTCTCCCTCTCCCAGTCTAAGCTGGTATTTGCAAAAGGCTGATACCAAGTCAGATTCAGGCAGCTAAACTGCTTGCAAATCGACAAATAAATGAATACAGATCTGCATCAGCTTATGTCTTTTATATCTGCCTGGAGTTCCGCTGAAAATATGTCATGAATTAATAGAAAAAAAGACTTGCAAGTCTTGGTGCATGCATTCAAAGCATTCAGATTCTATCATAGTATCACTGCTGATAACCCAGACTCAATATGCTGGTCCCAGTATAGATAAAACAATAAGAGAACCTAAATACTTACAGTAAGAGGGTGAAGTCTTTCATCAAATATATCTAAAAGCAACCGTCCATCTCCATCTCTAGAATTATAAAAAAGACAAGTTAAATCCTACCGAAGTGAATAAACTCCATAGTTTTGTTTTGTTTTAGGTGTCAATCAAAGACAAGAAACATACTATACAAAATGTCATATACTGTCAATCACAGCTTAGCTTTAAGCAGTCTAACTGCACTGAACTAGTAAAAGCTAATCTCTGATCCGTTTCTATACACAAAGGTGTTACCGCCAGCCTATTTATACCTAGAGTCATAATTAAAGGGTATCTATGATCAAAAACTAAAAATCAATATATATTTCTATGTTGAATTTCCATGAGTTCTATAACAGACTTATTAACCATATGGATCTAGAAGTGTGTAAAAGTATTATTGAAGATGCCCATAGCAGGTACTTCCTCAATGTGACACAATTTCACCGGTGAATATGCACTTGTTTGTGTCACCACTTTAAGCCTGTTGTCTGAACTACAACTCAATGTCTGAACTTCACGCCATGTAACATCATCATTGCTTGCTGTAAGCAATGCATAATGGGAAATGTAGTCTTAAGAAATTGATATTGCATCACATCAAGCAGCAGGGAAAAAGATGCAAAGCACACTGGAAATCCAGGAAGTTGTTGAAAGTGATGGGCAGACAGAAGGCAGCACTCACTACATAAAAGGAAGTTTGTCAAGTAAGCTTTGATTGCATTAGCAAAAACAAATCTAGTATGCATTCCTATTACAATGATAATGTTATAACAGGATAGTACATGCTGGGACTTTACAACTCCTTTAAGGATAATGGGCTCTGCTGAACGTTTTTTTACTTGTAAAGCCCAGTTGAAGTCACAAAAATTAATATTCAATCAGATCGAAATACTGGACACAGTAGTACTCAGCTTTCAAAGTTTAATTTATACTTTCCTGGTATCGCAGTTTAATTATGAATGGTCCTGTAAGCACTAGAGCCTGACTGTGCTGCCTAATCTACTAGACCTGGCCAGGCATGCCCCCACTGTCCACACTTCCTCTGAAGTACAAGAATGCCTGCGATATGGGGTGTGGCAGTTACTCAGCTATGCCAGCACAGAGAACTGGAGTGTGGCTCTGTGTCATACTTTTCACATGGTTGATGATGTCATTGTCCTCCTCATGTGACAGTGTTTAAGGCTAGCAATTGGCTGCTAGGCCCAAGCACAAAATTATATGCATTATAATATGCTGTGCCATACCCAAAAGTACCAGGTATTTCATGAGGATACGGGAAAGGCAAGTATAAATGGGTTTGAGGTGGGCAGCCTGAATGTTCAAAGTGACAAAGCCTCTTCTAGTCAATATTGTAGTCATTGGGTTTCTTTAAAGCAAATCATGCAGGGCAAAGCAACAGGTTTACTTTAGTGCCCACCTTCCATCCCCAGCAACAAACATGCAGCCAACAAGAGCAAAAAAAATATCCAGAACTTTTGGGTAAAGGGTACACGGCAGTTACCCACATCCTTTTTTTTTATCTTATGGGGCAGTGTTAGCGCTTGTGGAATGGCCAGCACTCTCACATGGGGGCGGAGGGTACACATGGGTTCCTTTTTTCGCTTCCCATGGCATGGAGAGTAGTGGCAGGAGTTAATGGAAGAGAAGCATGTGCTGCAAAGACACTGAGCATTATAGTAAACCAGTTCCATTATCATGCATGGGAAAAGTATACATTTGCTTTAAACCATCACAAGGCCTTAGCTGAATCAAATTCCTTTCACATTTGGAAAAGGTCACTTGAAGGCAATTCCCTGAAATCTCCCTACCTTGGCTTTTATGACCACATTCACTGCATCAAAGCTCAGTGTGTTCCGGCAGTGAACAGCAGATGGTGCAATGAGAGCATGGATCAGTCTTCCAGGAGGAAGACATCCAGTTCTGATGTTATGAAGCCCAGTACAGGCAGCTTGTGGCTGAATGAAGTCTTCTGTGCAACTGGTCTGGAAATGTTTTCAGGAAAATGTTTTCCAGAATTCATGCAGCCAACACTGTGGTCAGCAGCCTGGTTTTCAATCATATTAAAAATGAAAACAAAGCTGGATCAGCCATCAGACTGAGCTCAGACAGCTGAATGGAAATGCTGAATGACAAGCATTGGCTCATGTCGGAATACATTTAAAGGATGTGAGATGCAAATTATTATATTTGCATTTATTAAAATGCATTATATGCTGAAGCGTATCTTTGTTGTATCTGGGTTTTTTTTTTAGGGATGGTAATCAAGTAATTAAGTTGTAAGAGCATAAATTAGCAACCCACAAATATATTTTCCAAACTGGCTGAGTAAAATCTGTTATTAATTTTGCCTAAAGCTGGCCGTAAATGCACTATGATGCTCCGGCCACCTCACGTCTCTTTGGCCAGGTTCCCCCTGGACGGTAGTGCTCTGATTACATGATATCAGTCTTTCCCAGCACCAAAGAAACTATAACAATCATACAAGAATTTCTGACCCTCCACATCGCATTGTTTGGGGCTGTCAGCTACTACCCCCAAAAAAGGAGGGATTGGTTGACTATCATCTAATGTCTTTAGGCCCCATTAAGGTTGGCTATTAATGGCAGAGAGTGAGATACCTGACCCTTTTAAACACATCATCACAACTCTGGGATCAGCTTGGCTGATGGGTAAATGCAGCAGACATATCGTGAAATTGTTCAGCCCTTATCATTTTGCAAGGACTGGGAGAAAGTCCTACATTTAGGAACACCAGAACACATGGATGACAGATCTCGGGTAAAAAGAGTGACTGAACAAGTTAGAAAACCTCGGCTGACTTTTTTCTGTTGATATAGACTGCCACTGGAGAATGTGATCCGTATACATTAACACAGATGAGCACTGGATGATCAGATTGTGCATGTTTATTCCACAGCAGCTGGATCATGCCTGCATTCCGAACTGTCTATGGCATTTCTATTGTCATAGTTTTGTTTTGCTTTTTAACATGGTTTTCTGGCCATTCTCAATCAGAACACAGGTGTCAAGGCTTTAAGGCTTTGGGAGACCAGTCCTTGCAATATAATATTTCAGTTGTTGATAGATGTTTGTGAGTTGATCTAACAATTTCTTATATCCCTCAGGGACTCCATTGATAAGATCTCTGTGATGTTCTCTGCACACCTGCTGGGGCTATTATGAGGCATTTTACTCTCTTTGCTGGATTTATTATTGATTTTATGTTATGAAGAAACATTTAGGAACTATGGCAGGGAGAATTGCCTGTTGAAGTATCCAAGTTAGGGTTCAATCAAACCAGCTTGGGCACACTATGCTCTTTATAATGCATCCACGCTGGTTTTCATCACACTAGTGCATCACACTATTTGCCTGTTATCTTTTTTTTTAACTGCATTAATATGTCACTGTAGTGCGGTGAGTGGCGCTCCATAAATATGCAGACATGCTGTATTTTAACGCAACATACACAACTGCACATGTAAGGTGTAAACAGTGCACATAGAAAACAATTGTTTCTATGTGCACTTGCATTGAGCATGTGTTGATCTATGCATGTCAACGCAGCTCAACGGACATGGTGTGAACTAGCCCGTAATATAAGATTCTAGCGGCTGACTCAGCCCATTGGGCTTGACTTAAAACATCCATTTTGGGTGGACTGACCCTTTAAGTGAAATGTATACATACTTTGCCTTATATAACAGCCAATCAGATTTCAGCTTTCCATATTACACTAGTAGCATGAAAGGGATTGGATGCTATGTGCAACAAGCATGGCTTTACCTTCAGACTCAGACAAATTGCTTGACGGTGTTCTGGTTTAAGGTTGGACTGATATATCTGTGCTACTCTAAACAGTATTTAAAATGGGAGCCCAGCAATCTGATGTCTTACATTAGCGCGGTATTCCCCAATGTCAGTATAAATTGTATAAAACATTTCCTGTCTGGCTGCCAAGCCAATACTCACTGCATGAGGAATTTTTACCCAAATTAAACCTGACAGCTCTTTTACAGAATTAGCTATCAACCACTTGTTGTTAATATGTCTGACTTTTACAAAATATTAATTTCAGGCTGGTGCTGCAGACAACATTTTGCAACCCTCAAATCGATGTTTCCACCAATAGGTGTCTGCTTGTCATGAATGAGATTGTCACAGACTCTTCCATAGCTGTTCAGTGTTCATTCTAAAGGTGCCCACAAACCTTGCGATAATCGTGGAAAATCCCGCAATCGTACAATTATTGCAAGGTGTGTGGAAGGCGTGCGACTGTTTCTACTGTACGGTTGCACGACTTTTATCTTAGGAACATGTTTGAAAACCCGCCGAGAATCGTACGATTGTCGGCGGGTGTGTGGCATGCTCGTAAGATAAATGCCGAAAGGGCCAGTGTGAGCACACTGCCCGTTTAGCATTGCGCTCATCGGAAGCCCGCCCCTCAGGGGGATATTTTATGTAAAAAATGTTTAAGAAAACTGCAATTTTTTTATATGAAGCCTAAAAAATGTGTATTTCTGGAACCAAAAACAAAAATGTATTTAGAGGGACACTGTTATGATAGATTAGTGGAGGCCGGACTTTTCTTTGACATCATAGCCATTGACAATCATTCTCAATGATGTCCGAGTTGCTGACCAAGAAAAAGAAAAAGATAAGTAGTTCTTACACTTATTTACATCATGCTTGTTCCCGGACTATGGCTGCAACATACTAACGTCAGACATACCCAGGCATCTAGTATTTTTAGAATGAGGCCTGCAATGGCTGCCCTAATACTTCTCTCATGACAAAGTCACTTAAAAAGGAATATGTCACCAAGATAAAGAACACACAGATGTGCAGAAGTGGGCTAACTAGGTAACATATTTTCAAAGTCTATCAGTGTTCAAATTAAAGGGTAACCACACTTTTAGTACATTTATCCTTCAATGACCCCCTCCCCCAGAACTTTAGGTAAATGTCTGTGAAGGTTCTCATTCATCTAGGTCATGGTATATCTATTAAAAAAAAATCAAGCCAACAGGACTTGCTGTATTTTTTTTCCCCCTTGAAGACATTTTGCTGCTCATCCTAATTGAGAAAGCTAGTCTTCAAGAAAAAAAAAATACAAGTTCAGTTGCCTTGATTTAAGTAAATGTTGCACTTACCTACTACCCTGCTGTTCCATTGATGATGTCAGAACAACGGGGTTGCAGATAAGTATGTATCACCCATTGCAACCAGTGCAGATCACCCATGGAAACCAGTGATATCGAGAAAACTGGAAAAGGCCATATGGGCCCAGCACAGAAAAAATTGTAAATACAAGAAAAGAAACATTAAAATATAACCCAGAAAGCAAAACATATCTTGCAGAAATGTGGGACAATTAAACTTTATTCTTTTTTTTGGGTAACGTACCTGTTTTTTATATGGTAGTATATTGCAAGGGCTACGCTGTAAAAAAAAAAAAAATGTACTTTAACTTTCTTACTCCTTAGAACAGGTTTTCGAAAATTACATGATAAAACAAAAATACAGAGTCATGTAGTAATAAATATAATAACAATAATGATAATAACAATAATAACAACAACGCTAATATTAAAGTGACACTAAACTCAGGAGTTAAATCTTAAAAATGCATTCAAGTACCTTAACTATGAACAAAAATGTATCTTATTTGTGTATCAATCAGCGGTAGATCCTCAAATCATCTCTGAAATGGTGCTGACACTGTCCTTCTTTCTGGAGGGGGGCTACTTTTGTTCCCCATGGTCCCTGTGTGTGGTGTAAAGTAGCCACTACTCCAAGCTCACTTCCCTGATGGACTACAATATCAATACAAATTAGTAAACTAAACGTGAGATTCTAGTCCATCACGGGAGCGAGCTTGGAGGCTTGCTGCAGTGAAATCAGAGTAAACATTTTCTGTACAGGAGAGGAGCCTGTACAACTGTACAATACTTGAGTAAATGGAGTTCAGATTTTACAGTGTTCTGTACATGTAGTTACAACAAGCACAAAAGGTCTCACAAAGCCTTCCTTAAAGTAAACCTTTGCTTGCCCATGCAAGACTAAGCAAAAGCTCCACCAGCAGCACATACCCATCTTTCCTTCAATACCCCACCGGTATGTTCAGTTGTTGGGTGTGAAGAAATGTACCCAGGCATAGGGAAGCATGTGATTGCTACCCTGTCTCGCACATGGCAGCACTGGTTCTTGGCGATTGGCCCCTCAGCCCTTAATGCTATTACTTAGGGGCAGGGAAAGAGTGTTCAGCCCTGTGTAAAATCCATTCATTAACTGGTGCTCCCACGGGGCTTCATGTCCTCTCCCCTGGTGGTTAATTGAAGTGGCAAAGAAGCAAAAGAAAGGTCAGTATGTGCAGATGGTGGGGCCAGCAGTAAGGTGAACCTGTTACATTTCCCTACATTAGCAAAGCCCAGGTTAGTTTTTAATCTACTAAAAAGAAGTAGATTTGTTTCCACAGGAAACCACACGTGTGAAAGGAATAGGAAATTAATGCTTCTAGGAACTATTAATAGTCCCTGGTGTGGTCAATCACATTGCAAAACTGTGAGAAGTCTACACTGTACACACTGTGCAAGCAGCATAAAGAAATAAAGAAAGCTATATCCAGAAAACCCCTACATCTCTACAAGATAAAGCTCTAGATCTCTAGATCAAAATCACTCTCTATCATTTGGGTCTCTCCCATCACCTGGTACATATGGCATATAATGGTGTCATCGGCCATGAAACATAAGAAAAAGGGGCACACTTACCATTTAATAGTATACTTGAGGTTAGGTTGGCTGACTGTGCTGTCATCAAGGTAAATAGTAGAACAAGAGCTGTACTTCCTTCTCAACTGTCCAGGAGGATGCTAACGAGAGAAGACAAAGAAGCCATCCATTTAAAGGAAGCAAACACTACATCAGCTGTACAAACACTCTTTGGAATTTTTACTGATAGTGTAGTATATCTCTCCAGCAACCTTGCCACAATTTTAGGGTTCAGCATACATGATACGATCTGATTGTACAATCTCTTTTAGATCTACCATTAACTATGTAGTACAAGGCTCTGGCCGATTTGATAATAATTAAAAGGACTGTTTAGGTTTAGGAAAGCTGCTAGAGACTGCTCTGTCCCTTGCGTTCTTGCACTGGACAGGAAGTTTAGGGAAGCGGAGCAGAGAGACTTGGAGCCCTCTGTTTGACAACATGATGACTAAGTGCTTGGCCAAAAAGTTTAAGAAATACTTTGCTGGGCAATTTGTTTGATCTGGATTGATTATTGAAAAAAAAAGTTTCAGAGTTTAATACTACTTTAAAGCTCTTTGCTCCGCATTACTCAGTCAGAGGGTATAACCTTTTCTTAATGGACACAGGAATAATTAAAGAATGCATCCGTAGAAAGGAGTGTAACACCACAGTTTGGACTAAAGCTGGCCATACACTGCTAGTTCTTGATTCTAGCTTCTCACTGTGCAGATAATTGGGATCTCAACTGATGAGAATTTAAAACTGGCCATACACTTCTATTGCTCAGACCCTCAGGGCTGTACGAAGGGCTGTACCAAGCTCACACTAACAGCTTGGATGAGGAAATCCCCTCCACCAATCTATTGTATTTTGACAGTGCCTGGTGTGCGGGTGTTGGTAACAGTCACTTTTCGACCACGATTTTCTAGACAAGCTCCTTCAACAAAAGTCAATTGGAAAATCTACTTTTGTCAAATGGAATGGCAGGGGTGTTGTCCAGACGGAGCCACAGACTAGTCAGCAAGACTCAGCAGAAATTTAACCAGTGTATGGCTCGTTTTAAGTAGCCACAACACAATATGCCTGCAACATGAAGCTGAAATGAAGTTGCCTCATACAATGACACAATAACATCAGAAGCCAATACATGAATCATCCTAGGGATATCTGACCAAATCTGACTAATAATCTCTGGGGGGAACTTACCCTTTAGTGTCCTGAAACATATATAGAAGAGTATACAAAAATATGTCAAGTGGCACAAAGCCATTGTGGAGCAGTTGCAAATGTGACTGGGGAAAGGTGGGTCTGATGTGCCTCCCTGCCTCTCGCTGGATAAAGATTAACCTGAAAAATATATTATGCACAATTTTGTCAGTTTGAGCCTCAGACTTGTGTTCCAGGACACTACCCTAAGGAGGGACCTTGAGAGCCAATGAGGTCTAACACTACAAGAATTCCACTCAGCCCAACACAAGTTGATGTGAAGCCATCTCTCATGCAGGCCATGCACTTGTGCATTTTTGGCCCTGTTAAATGTATATGAAATGGGAAGAAAACTTTATTTAATCCTAGGCCCCTTTTTGACCATAGTAGCATACACATCATTGTGCATTTTGCCTGCAGTTTCATATACATTACCTAAACAAAACAAAAACATTGTAAATGAGGCCTAAATTCCCCTTTCTAACCCCTGAAACTTATCCTGGTGTTAGGAGTATGTTCTAAAATGTTTTGTTTTGTCATTCAAATATATGACGCATGAGTTCATGCCCTATGTTCCACCCCCTAGCCTGGTATCTAGGGCTGACTACAGGAACTGTACACATGGTGTCCTGTGGTTACAAAGCAGGAGCACATGTATCATGCATACACCACAACAACATCATCAGTAGCCTGTGATTAGCATTCTCACCTTATATCACATGTCAACAGGTATCTTCTTAAGCTTTAAAAATGAATATATAAAAAGAAGATTTGCACTTCTATATAGATCACTGCCACTGTCAATTGCCCTTCTGAAAATACTAGTAGCCTGGCTGTCATGCTTACCCAGTGACTTAAATTAGTATGAGTCACTCTTTCTGAAAAAGAAGGCAGAAGAAGAAATCTGATTTTGCTGGCTGCTTTTTTTTTTCTAGGAGAGTGATTCAGAAAACACTGTGACCAGAAGCAGTCTCAAATCTAGTATTTTTAGAAGAAGGTCAGCCCTGGCAGCCTAAATATTTATTTATGTGCAAAATTGCTTTCTCCAAACCGACATGCAGTGAGATAAAAGGAGCAGTATAACACAATTGTTGTGCAGTAGAGAAGTGTTATTAAAGCCAAACTTATGGCTTTCAGTGCTCAGGCTGTAATACTCACCCTCAGTCTTCCAGGTTGAATGATGCAGGTGTCACTCAACCCAGAAGGTATTGTGAGTGCAGGGCATCATGAGCCCACCTCCACAGTTGCATGACCACTGCACACTGCATTTGATATGAAGACTAAAGAAAAAAGGGGGTATAAAAAAATAGTATAAGATACTGCTACAACGGCCTCCACACTGGAGTACTGGGGGGTGGGGGCTAACCCTGAGATAGGCTTTAATATGCCATGATATGTATTTGCATAAGCTAATCCATATCTGCATGTCTATGTAAAAATACATTAAAGTTCCTTTCAATGGAAGGCTTATCTTACTTATGTATTTACTGCTATGAAAGCAGTATATTTTTAGCAGGAACCGCAGGGGTTAATAAGTGAGCTGAGAGCCATTTATCTCAGTGTATTGGGAAATGGAAGATGTGCCCTCGGTATCTGACCTTCATTTAGTGTGGCCACCATTCACTGTCTTTCCTGTGGAAAAGCTGATAGCATTGATTGAGATCACTGTAGCTGCTCGATAGCACACATACTGATATAAACTCTTTTGTGTTTTAAAACACAGGTGAAGGATCTTTATATATGTCTCTGAGTGGAAATGGAGGGTGACGGGGCTTCAAAATACTCATTTCAAAAGTAAAAATGTTTCATTAAAGACTAAATTCACCTTAAAGCGGTATTTCAGTTTTGAACAAAGATGAATTAACTAAATCACTTTCCATCTTCTAATAGATCTCAGTGACCTCATTTTCATCTCCTTCACGGGGAGATCTCTTAAGCTGGCCATACACTGTGGGAATTTCTCACACTGGGTAGTCCTGTCGGCAGCCTTTCGTCCAGCATCCCTCGATCAGCTGATCGAAGGAGCCGGTTGGAAATCTTTGTACGAATAGACTGGGCAGCCGATGATCTATACAAAAGAAACAGCGGGGATTTCTCGATCGACACACTCGTAGTGTTGATGAAGGAACCTGCTCTATTTTTTTCATTCAGCCCACGGGTTGAACGAGAAAATAAGGAGCAGTGTACTGCCACCATTGGATTTTCCATTTATTTTTAGTACAGATGTCATTCTCTTACTCGGCCCTGTAGAAAGCCAAATGATGGGTTCCACTCCCAGCATCCACCAGAAACTAAAAAATTAATTTGGATTGAACATCTGTTTAGTATTTGTGTATCAGAAGCAGAGATGGAATAAGGCAGAATGGGACCAGATTAGCCCCCCATCCAGCCAAGTAATACTGATGATGATCACAATAGGCACAGAGAAACCTTGCCCCATTTGCATGGTCTTATAAGAATGGCTCCATCAGACACTAACTGTCTACAAGTACATATTCCATTGTAAAGTGACGGGAAGATGCACACCAACTGAGTAAAATGAGTTTATTGTTGGAGTTAGGATGTTGTATCCAGGCCAGGCAGACATCCCCTGGACCCCTGGCGCCTGCATAGGTTGACTTGTCAATGATCCAGCTCTGCTCACAAACAAGACATGCATAGCTTGCTTTTTAGGGGACAGATTTGCAGTTGAGATACTTTTGTCTTGCTTTTCTTCTTGACTTGTATGGCTGGAAAAAAAGCAGTTCAGGCACAGCAGAACGGGATGTGCTGTGCTTACCAGAATGCAAAGGGAAGCAAATGCGTAAATGCACTGCAACATATAATCCAATTCAAAAGTCAAACACTGCATTTCAAATCCTTCCAAACTGCTTCACAAACCCGATTTATAGAACAAAACGCCTACACAAGCTATTGTGTGAACCTGTGCAACATTTAAAACGTTTAAAGTTAAATGTGCTGTCTTTATGGCAGACGCTGCAGGATTCCTGCTATTACCTTTATTTGACGGAAAAACCTCATCTGTTCACTTCTGAATCAGTTTCACTTTGGCCTCTTGCACGCGGCCCCAAGAGTGCCTTACAGCCTACATTTGGGCACATTTCTCTGGCTGGGAGTGACAGGCGCACCGTAGCCAGCCTGTAAAAATCAATGACAGGCTGGCCAAAAGGTTATGTATGTAAATCCCAGTGTTTACATGTCTACAGGGACTGATGCACGTCCCTGACCTCAGACTGTCTACAATTGGGACAGCGCATATGTCCTGGCATGCAGGAAAAAGTGGAATTTGCATGTAAGACCGTGCAGCCACAGCTTCAGCCAGCCTGTCATTGATTTGACAGCTAAAAGTTTGTTACTATTTTGGCCAATTTTCTTTGATATTAAAAACATTTTAGAGATATCCATTAACAAATACCACCAAACAAAGGCATAATTTGTCCTGAAAAGATACACTAACTAGTTGCAAAGTTTTACTATCACATGCCAAATTGCAACATTGTGTTTAAGTGTTAGGATTTGTTTTACCTTTGTCATGAAGGGGATAGGTTTTCCATAAAAATTAAAAAAAAAAAAAAAAGGTGTATTCTTTGTAGATCCCAAACCTACCTACAACCCCGTTCACACCGTGGCGGTTCGGGGGCGCGGATTCAGCCGCACAGATCCGCCGACATGAACGATCCCATACATTGCTACGGGGAACGTTCATGCGACCGTGCGATCCGAACTACCTCCCGCCTGAACTGCTCCCTGCACTATTTTTGCCTCGCTGATCAGTGTGGTTTCCATACAGGTTTAAATGAAACCGCGCTGATTAGCGCGGTTTTGGGTGTTTTTAATTGGGTTTCAGCGTTGGAACGCAATTAAAAACTCCCCAAACCTCCCTTGCGAAATTAACGCAGTAGCCGCGCTGATCCGCAACCGCCCTGGTGTGAATGGGCTCTAAGATTGAGTATCTGGATGAGTTGGGAAGCATCCTGCCATGTGCAGTATATGAATCAATAGAATACTGTCATGGCAAAGCAGAATAGGATAAAGAATCCAGCAAATTATTTTATTGGTAATACGTTGTACAATGAAAGAATCACGTGTTTTGTCCCCTGAAATGTGTTAGCTTTCTTGTATTGTTTTGACAGAAAGGGGGTTGATTTGAGACTTATACGATTTCCTTATCCTGTTATGCTGCTGTGACCTACTTTTCTACTGATCCTTAGTGTTAAGGACCCCCATTGGAGCTCTTAATGACATCAGTAGACTAACAAGCAAATCCTACATTATTAACTGCAAAACTAAATTAACACTGAACACTGCTGTCCATTACAGTCTGAAACAACCAGACAAAACTACATGCCCATTATATGCCCACAATTTCCTTTTTACATGTTCCTGCTTTCTATGTCTTATCAAGAGACAATGGAAGCCTTCTTTAATAATATACACAACAAAACACAACAACCAAATTTGATTTTAACGTAGTCAAATCCATAAAGGTTGGTATCCGATTGGTTGCCATGTCGCTTTACTGTACACTGCTCTGTATATTCGAAACTAGAAATGATTAATCTAGATCAGGGGTAGCCAAATTCGACCCTCCAGCTGTAGTGAAACTACAGGCATTGCAAGACTCTGTGAGCCACAAGCATGACTCCCAGTGGCATGATGGAGCTTGTGGTTTGTCCAATGCTGGGAGGTTGAAGTTTGGCTCCCCCTGATCTAGATGCAGGGCCACAACCAACTGAAGCCTATATGTTAAATGAACTGCCACAAATCACATTATCGTAAAGGAATTGTGTCACTCCATTGCCAGAGCTTTCATCTTCTACCCTTCTTCTTCTGTGTTCAGCAGTCTATGGTTAGCTGGGATAATGTGACTCCCATGCATGTGCATTGGAGTCCATTGATCCCTGCACTTACATCCAACATATACCGGGATTGTTTACTGTGCTGGGCATGTGTAGCTGTCAATGTACAAATCATAAATAAAAAGAACTGCTAGCAGGCAGGGAGAAAGATTTTATGGGAAAAGAAACATACAGGGTCTGAGTCTCAAAATATCTATCTCGTAACAGTATTTTACTTTGCTGATGTATTTCTGCTTTAAGATATTAACATGAAATGTATAACCAGATGAGTTTTGGTAAGGTTGGCCAAAAATGGAACCACTGACCCACTGCAAAAAACAGTAGAGGATTTTATTGTATTGGGAGAAGATATGCAAATCATTTGTTTATGCCCATTTTGCCAACTGTACACTGGTTTATAGCACAGATACAACCAAATGTTATATAGCCATTTATTCTAAACTACATACAGCTGTTTCAGGCTTGTAGGCCATCATCAGTGCAGTGCATAAAAATTATGACTTCTACTGAGCAGGGCCTGGGGAACAATGGGAAGGTATAATCTGACAGGTTATGGCAATTGAGCAAATAATATAATTGAATATTTATTACTCACGTGATTTATATAAAGGCTTTTTCGCTTTTCTCTCACTGTGAAAACACAACAAGAACATTAGTTTGGGAGTAGCAGAGTCATGCACAGGTAAAATAACATCTGTGTAATTAGAAGGGGAGTAAACATGCAGAAAGAACACACAATTCCTAGATGTTAATGTAATTGGCACCAAGCCTAGAGCATTTTCTGCTTCATTTGATGGTAAAACAGTCAGTACGTCCAAACCTGATATTTAACTTGGAAGGGGAGTCACCGATTGGCTTCTTAAATCTGTAGGGGTTCCACCACCCCTAATCATTCATACTTCTCCTAATATTAACAGGGAAGTCTCATGCCCCCTACTGCACAAAAAAATAAATGTACCTCCAGCAGCACCGTATGACCACTTCACTGCCTACAGCTGGAAACTCTGAAAGATGAAAGAAGCTGATGGGAGGTATCCATACCTGAAATAGCAGTTTTGGGTGGTCTGACCATTTAAAGTTCATGTACACTCACCGGCCACTTTATTAGGTACACCTTGCTAGTACTAGGTTGGACCCCCTTTTGCCTTCAGAACTGCCTTTATTCTTTGTGGCATAGATTCAACAAAGTGTTGGAAACATTCCTTAGAGATTTTGTTCCATATTGACATGATGACATCACACAGTTGCTGCAGATTTGTCGGCTGCACATCCATGATGCGAATCTCTCGTTCCACCACATCCCAAAGGTGCTCTATTGGATTGAGATCTGGTGACTACGAAGGCCATTGGAGTACAGTGAACTAATTGTCATGTTCAAGAAACCAGTTTGAGATGATGTGAGCTTTGTGACATGGTGCATTATTCTGCTGGAAGCAACCATCAGAAGATTGGTACACTGTAGTCATGAAGTGATGAACATGGTCAGCAACAATGCTGAGGTAGGCTGAATGATGCTCAATTGGTACTAAGGGGCCCAAAGTGTGCCAAGAAAATATCCCCCACACCATTACAGCACCAACAGCCTGATCCGTTAATACAAGTCAGGCTGGATCCATGCTTTCATGCTGTGTACACCAAATTCTGACACTACCATCTGAATGTCGCAACTAACATCGAGACTCATCAGATCAGGCAATGTTTTTCCAATTTTCTACAGTATTGTCCAATTTTGGTGAGCCTGTGCGAATTGTAGCCTCTGTTTCCTGTTCTTAGCTGACAGGAGTGGCACCCGGTGTGGTCTTCTCCTCTGACCTCTGACATCAACAAGGCATTTTCGTCCACACTCCTGCCGCTCACTGGATATTTTCTCTTTTTCTGACCATTCTCTGTAAACCCGAGAGATGGTTGTGCATGAAAATCCCAGTAGATCAGCAGTTTTTGAAATACTCAAACCAGCCCGTCTTGCACCAACAACCATGCCACGTTTAAAGTCACTTAAATCCCCTTTCTTCCCCATTCTGATGCTCGGTTTGAACTTCAGCAAGTCGTCTTCACCACGTCTAGATGCCTAAATGCATTGAATGCTGCCATGTGATTGGCTGATTAGCAATTTGTGTTACCAAGCAATTGAGCAAGTGTACCTAATAAAGTGGCTGATGAGTGTATATCCAGAATGTTATATTTTATTCATAGAATATGGAAGGGTTAGAACCCCTGGTCGGTTTTATTTGTTGTCTTGTCCCTACTGGGAAGATTCACCCTTTCTAATTCTCATGATAGCAACTGTCACCGTAAGAACTTGATTGCAAATTTTACAGTTGTCATCAGAACAAGAGGTGGGGGTGAATCTTCCAATTTAATTCAATTGTCCAATTTCACATTTTTTGCATGCAACAGGTTTAAACTAGGCATGCTTAATAATAAAACATATAAGACATCTTACCATCTGTTTGGGATTTGCTGAGGAATATTGTGCTTGCCCGAGGATGATCAGAGGGGTTAAATTCCATATTCATATCTAGAAATGCAAAAAAAATATATATATATAAAGCCATTTAATCTGCTTGTAGTTCAAGCGGGCGAGCAATGTAAGCATTGTTTATTCAAGCAGACAGGAGCAATTTATAGACAAGCAAACAATTTGCCATCCCCAGACAAAAAGCAATTTACAACGCTAAAGAAATTATTCTGCATAATAAGGCAACCTATGGAGGGAACAATCAAGAACAGAAACAAATATAGACAACAGAATAGGGGACTCAATACGACAATTTAAGAAAATGATTTGGTTTCTCTGCACCAAGAAAATATTTTCTTCAAGCCGTTCAAACAAAGCAGCACCAGTCTAATTTCCAAAAGTTTCTAAAATTGCCTGTTCAAGGATGCCTATAGCATGTCACAGACATCCAATTGCACCTATAGGGCACCTATGAATACCTCTGACCTAGGGCATCATTGCTCAACCTTATTTCAGTCACAGCACAATTTAAAGTAAGCAAAATCTCACGGCAGCCCAGTCTAAAATGTCATAGATTTTAAAGGGGACCCCACAGAAGAATACACAAAAAGTGGGTGTCTTTCTTTACATTGAAGTGCCCACTTCAAATCTATATCTCCCCCTCCCTTCACAAAAGAGTCACCCTTTGCATCAGTAGCCGTTCCTTTCACATCAGAAGTCGTCCCCCCCCCTACCGTTCAGAATTCACCTTCATATCAGGAGCCCCCTCCACATGAGTCTTCATTCTTTCCACCCTTCATATCACAGTCCCACTACCACAACATTTTGAAGCACCCCCTGAGGAAGCCAGAAGGCACAACAGGGTGCCAAGGGGCACCCTGGTTAAGAAAGGTTGGCTTATGGTCAACAGTGATTGGACATGTAAGATACCCTTAGCTGGTTGCTATTGCTTTCAACTCTATAAGACACAGGTGTCTGTAGCATGCGTATTCTCCATTGGCTGAAATACAGATGATCACCCAATACAATACCCAATACACCCAGTGAGGTGGTTTATTGGTTAGCACTCCTGCCTTACAGCACTGAGGTCATTAGAATCCCAACCAGGATACTGCCTGCAGTTTTCATGTTCTCCCGTTGCTTGCATGGGTTTCCTCTGCTTTCCTCCCACACTCCAAAGACATGCTGGTAGGTTAACTGGCTCCTGTGTAAATTAGTGTGAGTATGTGTGCATGTGAGATAGGGATCTTAGATTGTAAGCTCTATGAGGGCAGGGACAGATGTGAACGTATGATATGTAAAGCACTCTGTAAATTGACTGTACTATAACACAGATACTTCTAACTTAAAGCTTGAGTTCCATGCCTATGACTAGGTTGTTAACCGAATTGGTTGCTAAGCGGGGAAAAGAAGGAATCAGCTCTCATTTGCGGTACAGTGTACAATACAGACCGTTCAGAGAACTGTTCATAAGTCCAAATGGTCGATTACTTAGGTTTGCATACTGTAAATACCCAGGTTCTTGTTCTGGTCCGCACGGTCGTTGAACAGGTACGTCATTAAGTGAGGAGTAGCTGTAATCATTTATAAAATAAATAATAAAATGCACCCAACTACTTCAAATCACAATGACGGGATTTTATCAAAACTAGAGCAGACAAAATCTGGACCAGCTGTGCATGGCAACCAATCAGCTTCTATTTTCAGTTTGTTCAGTAAAAAATTGAAAATGAAAAGAGAGAAGCTGATTGGTTGCCATGCACAGCTGCTCCAGATTTTGTCTGCTCCAGTTTTGATCAATTTCCCCCCAATGTATACAGACAGGTTTACACACAGCTACCAGTTAAGTTCTCTCAAATCTGTTGTAGGCAACTATGTTTTTCTCAGACACTCTGATAGATAAGATCCAATGATGGTGATTTAAAGAAGGAAAATCAAATGTGAGGTGGGGTTGTCTTCATCAACTGGACTTCATGTTTAATTGTCAATCCTACCGTGAGAAAATTAAAGTTAAAGCTTGATTGGTTGCTGTGGCTAACTGCCCTAATAACCTTCTGCTCCGGATTTCACAAATTGTCCCTCTCTACCCCTATGCATCAAAAGGTATGTGAAAGAAAAGGCTATGTTTCCATGGCAACCAGTTTGGTCCTTTAATGTTTTCTTCCGTATCATAAAATAGTCAGTGGAACCCAACTGTCTGCTAGGCACAAAAAAGGTCCTTTCATTGATTAGGCCTCATATTTATGGTCTTAAACAGCTACATATAATTTAGACTTTTCTATGCGACTTTAAACTTGTAAATAGAAAACATTGTGAACCCAGCAGTATATAGCCCATGTAGCGAGTGCTATCAGCTTATTCAGTATAACGGTGCAATATGAACAACAGAGCAATGCTAAATTTGTACCCAATAAAACTTGCTTTAGTCTGGATTTTGTAAAAAAAAAAAAAATCTAACAGATGCTACTAAACTTAAAGTGCAACTGAAGCCAAAACTTTAGTTTTTGATAGAGTGGAGAGAAATTAGAAATGTCATGTTTTATTGTTGTCTGTGTCCCTGTTAGAGGGAGAGGAAAACCCTCTATTTTATCCTGGTGACCATTATTACTGAAAGTGAAAGAAAATCCCACATTTTGGGTGATCAGGGCAAAAATAGATGGGAAATCTTCCAATGTTGACATTAGTTCTGGTGAGGCCCACTAACCACCTGGGATTTCCCTCACTTTGGAGGGATTTCCCCTCACTTCGTGTTGTGGCTATTGTACAGGAAGTGAAATCTGCCCAACGGGACACATATGACAAAATAAGCTAACCCTAAAGATAATCCTCCCTTACTAAAATTAAAAAAAATGCTTGGTTTCAGTTATAATTTCTTGCATAGAAGGAGCTTGTCAGATTTTAAGGAATGAGCAGTAATTGGCTGTAAACATCAGAAACCAATTTTATATTAGCTTCTGTATCTCTAAAATGTATCTAAAGCCTCTGTGTCTAGTATTGGATGGAGCAGGAGATGTTTAAAATCCCTGCCATGGGGGTGACAGTGGTCACCAGGACAAGTAGAGAGGATAAATCTCCCCAGAAAGGACACTGCTAAAAAAACCTGTAACATCTGCTCCTCGAGGCCCTTCTCGGTGGGAACATCTATGTATGATCGCAGCTAAAAAAGCAATGCTAACAAACTGGTTAACTCCCGCTCCCCCCCACATTGACATCGCTGAAAGACCGCGTACACAAACTGGTGTCACTAGATAAATTAGATGTCCAGCTTAATCAACCTTTTACAACTGACTTCTTTGTCACTTGGTCTGCGTTCCTACTGTCCGAACTTCCCCCAGGACGGCTAAAAGAGGTGATGACATTATTTTAGGACACTAAATGGTATCTCGCATCGACGGCAGCTGGTTCTCTGGGTGCATTAGATGTCCTTCAGCGTTCCAATATATGATTTCTTCTTCTAGTACTAATCCTATCTTTTTAACTATTCTCATAGTCCAAGTCCCTTTATGTCATACTTTATTTCATCTACTGCCCTTGCCAAGAGTCCCATGGATTGATTGAGATGTTGTTATTCGATTTACTGTTTTTCATATTGGTTGTCGCTTATGTACGACTGCATTTACTAATTTGTTGATTGCTCTGTATGTCTTGGAAAATGTTCAATAAAGATTACATGCTAAAAAAAAAAACTTGTAAAACATGGGGAGGAATATGATACAGTTAGGCTGGCCTTAGTCGGCTCAAATTTCGGCCGATTCTTGCTGAACCAGCCATAATTTGATCCCTGCATGGCCCTAATAGCACCACCCGACTCGACAAAAGTTGATTTATCAATTGACTGAGCTGGTTGGAAAATTATTGGTCTAAAGTTAGCCATACACTAGTAAAATCTACTTTCTAAGAAAAAAAAATTCAAAACGTTCCAGTAGTTAATAGGGTCACATCGACAATTGTTTATGACTATAGTGACAAAAAAAATCAAAGATGGTGCAAGATGGTTCGAACGAACATAATTCTAACAGTGGATGTGGTCTTCGTTCAAGAAACTCCATTCATTTCCCGTTCTCTTGAGAGAAAACCGAGCCATGTATAGCAAGACTTAGCAGTAGGTATAGGTCAAAACAATGAGACTGCAATCCCAGCAAATCAATATAACATTCTGATTATTAGCACTTCATTCACCTGGCATTCAGTCACTCCAATGAGAGAACTTGGAACACTGCACTGCACTGCACCCTCTGCACTGCAGGACATAGGTCCGGGCTGACTCATTGCTATGTACTGTAAAATCAATATTAGAGTGTAGCAGTACTGAGTGACTGACATCCGATACACAGAACATTACCACAACTTGTTATTTCTGTTATAACTTAATAAAGAGGAACTCTTGGAAAGAAGTGTATCATTTAGTATGGCCATTCTCAACTATTATGGCTAAACTGTCCTGATTACTTTATTAACATTCTGCAATGTTCTAAGGAAAGGTGTTCAAAAATCATGTTGTCTTCAAACTCATTCACATTATACAAGTGCTGAGTGGTGATAATTATTATCCTAGCATTTAACGTGTACCTTCCTGGCTGGATCTCTATAGTTGCCAGCATGAATGTTTCCTTCAATCTTCTATCAAGCCTCTAAAAATACATTGTAGAGTATTCCCTGGTATCAGCACAAACCTCTCTAAGCCCTTATCCAAATGCAGGGTAGAGGGAAGTCTCAAAATAAGGAACCATGTGGCAAGAGATTACAGCCCACAATGAAAGCCTTGGTATATCAGCCTTGAATGGATACAAACCTGATCAAAATAAAGGTAATCCGGATTGTGTTTTTCCCAATGACACCACTGATAAGCCAATATTCCTCCCACTGACACCAACAATGGGCACAATTCCTCCCACTGATACTAACAATGGGCACAATTCATCCCATTGACACTAACAAGGGGCACAATTTCTCCCACGGACACTAACAATGGGTACTATTCCTCCCCGTGACACTAACAATGGGTACTATTCCTGCAACTGACACCAACAATGGGCACTATTCCTCTTAATGACACCAAT